AGACATATGCTTTGCTCTCAGAGACCTTTTGTGTCTTGTAAGGGTGAGAACAAAAGAACTGTAAACAAATTAGAAATTACAGTGCTATGAGTGAAACATCAGGTTCTGGAATAGGGTAATGTGGGAAATGTACTTCAGGTGGTTTGGTCAAGGAAGGCCTGTCAAGTGGTGAATTTAGCTGAGACATGAGTAGTAGGAAGGTGTTAGCCCTGCCATGTGACTCTTCTGTGAGGCTGGTTTGGGGGAGGGCAGGGGACAGACACAGCATTTCAGGCCAAGAGGAAATAGCATGGGCAAAGAACTTGAGGCAGGATAAAACCCAGCATGTTTAGAAATATTAAGAAGGCAGATATGGCTGGAAGGCAGGTGTTGGTTTGGAGTATGTGGCAAGAGATAAGGTTGGAGATTAAGAAAGAACCAAATCATGTAGAACCTTCCAGGAAGGGCTAGGAGTGAAGTCAGGCTTAATGCAATGGAAAGCTGGTGAAGAGTTTGAAATGGAGTAGGGCTGAAGAGTAACATGATCTTTTTGAAGTTTTAAGAAAACTCTTATTGATGTGTCAAGAATGGATTGAGGGGCAGGAAATGTGTTCAGAGAACCACAAAATTATAAACATTTGGGGCATCTGTTACTTGTGAGGATACAGGGTGGGGTCCTTAACGTCCAGAAGTCATTCATAATTAGTTGGGGTGGTAAAACACATAAAAAAATGGAGAACACTAAGTGCCAAGTATGCTGCACAAAGAAGACATGTCTTAGTTTTAGAAAAGGGAGAGATCACTGTGGATGGGACCAATCAGGAGAGGCTTCTTCCAGCAGCTGTCAGATTCAGTATGGACCTGGAAGGATGGGTAGAGTTAAATACCAGGGAATAGGGAAGGCATTCCAAGTAGGGCAAAATGGTATAGACTTCTGTTTGGAACACAGGGGGGCTGGAAGGTGAATTTAGAGAGCGGGAATGCTGTTGGCAGATTGTGACAGACCTTGAATGACCTTTCGTCTCCAAAGGTGGGACCACTTGTGGGGCAGTGAACTGATACACGCTTCATGTCTTTGTGAGGATGTTGTTGTTGGGATCTAGTTTGGAAGACTTTACTGGGCATACAAAGGGCACCATTTCATTTTTGTAGACTACTTTTGTTGGTCCTGGATTACTTTTTTATGGGGCTTTACTAAGTCACATGGTTGACTTTTGGTTTGTCATTGGGTTTTTAGATAGAAGAACCAATTCTTTTTTAACTAACTGAGGAAGTAATTAGACAAATACATACCCAGCTAATAAAATAAGGGTATGTACCTTACTCCCTCAAGACTTTCCTTCATTTCAGCAGTCGTGTGAAGAAATGATTGGGACAACACACAACTGTAAGATTTATTTATTTAGATTGACTAGGACCAGGCCAAGTAAGTCTATTCTTAAGGAACTTAAAGTCTAATTCTGTAAAAATCCTTTTATTTACAATCCAAGCCTTTCCCTTCCATATCTTATCCTTTATTTAGTGCCCAAACTCCCCCCTTGGCCTGCCCTTAAGGTGGAAATATCGAGACCACATGGTATTCCATCCCGAATTCTGTTTTCTTCATTTTTAACTTTGTCTTTACTGTATCATGCTTGTAGCCAGGAGTGGTGCGTAGTCTATCCAGTCTTTGGTTAAAGCTTGGCTGTATAATTGACTCACCTCATTCTTATGCTGCTAAGAATGTATGTGTTCTTCAGTCTCCTTATCTGCTTTTCCACAGTATCTTCTATACCTGTATGTATTCTCTTGAATTTGTTGATTTAATATATCTGGTTTTTACTCACAGGAACTGATAGATTTCTCTCCTCTAGGATAACATTTCTCTTTGATTGATGCTACCCAGCATCTTTCACCTTTAACATATCTTTTAAATATATTTTCCTATAAAAGTCCACTGCTCCGTTTTTGTCCACCTTCTTTTGGCTTCATACCACCCTTCATTCATGGAGGCACGGAGTGACACTACCAGTATAGTAACTGCATAGGTCCTTGCCAACCTTCACACACTTCTTTTCAGGTGACTTGAGACATTTTGATAGCCTGTCACAGATTCAGAGGGACCCTGTAAGTGCCCAGTGTATGAGACATTGTACTTACCCTCTGGGAGGCTTGCAGTCTTGGGAGAAGAGGGCATAAACAAGTGGCAAGGGAGGATAGCAAATGGGAACAGCAGAAGACTGGCTTCCCCGAGGCGTCAACCAACTCTGGTAGACAGCGGAGCCTGGGCAGTCACAGGGCTGTGGTGTGCCTGCTACCACTGCCCCTTCCCCCTGGCAGCTATGGGCAGTGAGCTGCGGAGAAGCTGAGGAAACTTAGAGGGGATTTTCCTCTGGAAAAGGCTTAGGGCTGTGATGCAATTTCTGAGGAAGCGCTATGAATACAGATACAAACACTCTTCAGGGTTTATTACATTTTCCCCTTATTAAGAGCAGAGCATGATTTAAATCTCATTATAACATTTTGTTACAAGGACTCATTCTCTATAACAAAGCAATGTCCCTTTCCTGGCAGGTAACCTAGAGAAAAAGCTTTTTGTTGATTTGACTACAATTAACTTTGCAATGAATGCTTTTGCTTATTGTTGTTCAGTTAATAGCCCGTTGTCATTAGAAATTAATTGTGTTCTGAGCTGGAGGTGGGTACAAAGGACCTAGGATACTGCAGCAACACTGAATGGTCCATCACCTTAAAAAAAAAATTTCAGCATTGACCTCCCTCAGGGAGCTCTCATTGAGGATATGGTGGCGCTAGTGCAGGTCTGAGGTACTTGAAGACAGCAGCTCAGGAATTTGTCTTCTCTCTGTGCTGCCAGTACCTTGTAATTGCCCAAATGCAAAAGGTGCTTAGTGAGAATTCACTTTTTTTGGTTGGGAAATAAATTCTAACTTTTAGAAAAGTTGAAATATTGTACAATAAAGTCCCCTATACTCTTCACCCAGATTCATATTATTAACATTTTGTTCCATTTGCATGCTCTTGTGCACATGCTTTTCTCCCGATCCTCCTTCCCCCTCTCCCTCTCTCTCTATGAATGTATGAATTTTTTTCTAAAACCATTTGAGAGTTAAGTTGCGTATCTCATGCACTTTACCTCTAAACAGTTGTGTATTTCCTATGACTAAGGATATTCTCTTAGATGGCCAAATTTCATAAATTTAATAGGGATATTATACTTCTATCTAATATGCTGTCCACATTTCCATTGACCCAGTGATGTCTTTTACAGCATGTTTATCCCCCAGTCTAGGATCAATTACTGTGTTTAGCTGTTTCTCTTACTCTGGAAGAGTCCCTCTGCCTTCCTATGTCTTTTATGACATTAGGTTTTTAAAAACAGTTTTATTGATAAAGAATTTACATGTGATTAAAAACCAGTTTAAGCATGCAGTTTCAATGATTTTTAGTAAATTTACAGAATTATCCAGACATCTCTACAATCCGATTTTATTACATTTCAGTTACCACCACAGATCCCCTATGTCCACTTGCAGCGGGTCCCTGCTCCCAACCCCAGCCCAGGAAACCACTGATCTGCTTTCTGTCATTACACATGTGCCTTTCCTGGACATTCCGTACAGCCCTACAGTAGAGAGTCTTCACATCTGACTTCTTTTACTTAATGTAACATTTTTGAAGGTCATCCATATTGTAGTATGTATCTGTGTTTTCCTTTTTATTGTTTAATAGAATCCCACTCCCGCTGTGTGGATATACCACATTTTCTATCCATTCATCATTTGATGTATATTTGGGTTGTTTCCAATTTTTGGTTATTATGAATGATGCTACTGTGGATATTCATGTCCAAGTCTTTGTGTGCAAATACCTTTTCATTTTTCATGTATAGATTACTAGAATAGAATCATGACAAATTTATGTTTAACTTTGTAAGAAACTCCCAAACTGTTTTCAGACTATCTGTACCATTTACATTCCTACAAGCAGTGTATGGGGGGTCCAGTTACTCCACCAACGAAGATGGCTATAATTAATTCTTCCCCCATTGAATTGCCTTGACACCTTTGACAAAAACCAAATGATGATAAATATGAGTTTATTTCTATACCCTCAATTGACATTCACCTTTTTGAAGAAAACAGTCTTCCCCCACACCTTTTTTTTGGTAAATCCAAAATGAGGAACATTGGAATGCTCCCTCATGATAGATTCAGATTATGCATTCCTGGTCTGGATACTGCGTACGTGTAGTATTAGATCCTTTTGAGCTTATTACACTCAGAAGTACTTACCCACCTGTCCAACACTGGTTGTGGTTAAGTTTGATCAACTGGTCAAGATGTCCAATTTTTCCACTGTATGGTTACTATTGTAAATATCTTGCATCTCATAAAATATTTCTTCCCTAGGTTTAACATCCATTGATGATTCTTGCCTATATCAGTCTTTATGGATATGATTGCAAAAATGATGATTTTTCCAGAATCTTCCCCCACCCCCAAATTTGCACATTGAGCAATCAGCACTAGATATTCTGCTGTTGGCAAGAGCCCTCCCTTCTCAGTTTATGTATTTCTCCATCTGTTTATTATTATGTAGACTCATGGTTTATAGTCTATTACTACCACTTCATTATTTTGGTGCTCAAATGATCAGATTTGACCAAGTGGACATTGTTTGATTTGAATGTTTATGTGACATAAAGCTGAACAGCCTCTTGGCCAGTCACAGTATCCAGTGGAAGTGGTGATATCTAATCATGCATAAAAATGGTTTAAATCTTTCCCGAAGTCTGTTAAAGAAAAACCATTAGAGAATTCCAACCATAGTGCTCAGCACCACTTACCAAACTCTTCCTTCCCTGTCTGTCTGCATTTGCTTTATGTATCATGTCTAACCAACTGCTCCCCTGTCTTCCCTCTCAAAACTCATGCTTGTTTCTCTCTGCCCTCCTTCTTATCTTGAGCTTCTCTTTCCTCCCAAGAGTGACTTTCTATCCTTTATAATGTATATTATTACAGGAGTTCATTTCTGGAGACCCCGTCTTTATGAAAACTGACCCTCCTTGCCTCACTTTCAAGAGCAGAGAAGTTCAGAAGTTCAGACTCAGCAGTGGGCTGGGGGTGAGTTGGAGGTGACAAATGCTTATATGTTGTTCCTCCTCTTTTTGTCCTTAGTTAGAAGCAGTGAGCAATTACAAATCATCCAAATGTTGAGTTTTCACTAGGTAAATATAAACTGTTGTTGTAGTTTAATAAACAGGCGATGACTATTGCTGGAATATTTTTATAACAAATAAGTTATTTTCAAAGTTTAAGAATAGGCTTCATAACCATAAAAAGCTGCTCATTTGGCATCTGCTTTTTTACTCTGAAGGATTTGGTTACTTGCTCCAGGAATGTATTACATGTGTCCGGTGCTATGAGATAGCTATGAAAATACTTAAAGGTTTTCTCTGGCTTCCTTCAAAATTTTCTCTTTGATTTTCTGCAATTGCAATATGATATGCATAAGTGTAATTGTTTGGGCATCTATCCTGCTTGGTGTTCTCTGAGCTTTTTGGGTCTGCGGTTTGGTGTCAGATATTAGTTTAGGGAAATTTTCACTCATTATGGCTTTAAATACTTCTGTTCCTTTCTCTCCTGGTATTCAATTATGCATTTCACACCTTTTGTAATTGTCCTACAATTCTTGGATAGTCTATTCTGTCTTTTGTTCTGTTTTCTTCTCTCCTATCTTTGGGTTTCTTTAGAAACTGCTTATTAAATAAGGTCTGAGACAAGCAGTTTTTTCTTCTGTATTCCCATTTCCTAGCATGTTTTAAAGATGCATTCATGTTTATGCATGTATCAGTACTTTATTCCTTTTTATGCCCTTCTAATAACCATTGCTTGGATATACCATATTTTG